AGTCGAGTAACATTTTTAACGTCTCCGCAGACACCTTGGATGCCCTTGGAGACGGCAAATGGATTCAGTTTCAATGGACTTCCATCTGCAGCTTCAATAACCAAGAATTTTGGCCAGGAATCAGACACAAATTGAGAAACTTCTTCATCTGATGAAGAAGAAAGATGTCTTCTTTTATTTGCTTTTACAGAACCAGAGTGTAATGTGTTAGCCATGGTAGGGTGATGCGGTTCAGCAACCCTGCTCCCCACCCGCCACCGAGTGTCAACAAAGACGATGTTGCAGTGGAAACCAGACTGAAACATCAGGGCTACAGGGGTGGTATACTCCAGAAACACAGACTTGTATAGCAAGGAGATCTGAAAGAAGAAACGCCAGGCTGGTTCGACCTTCAACATTTTTCTTGAGAAACCCAGAATACAGAGGTCCATATCACCAGATTGGCCCATGAGCCACCGCCTTCTGGCATAAGACTCTAGGCAAACGTTTACATAATAATTTGGGATGTCAAACACGTAACACATGACCAAGACCAAATAATACATTAATATCAATCACATTTGTGCAAACACAATATTATGCACAGGGCCTGGCATGACCAGCCGATTGATAAGACCGGGCCCATCTTACCACCCGTCTAGGCGAAGTAAGGGTCGAAGTAGTGTGTTGGGCAAAGGAACACAGTTCCAGGAACCAGTGCCCTCAACTACCAGACTCCCGTCCTCCGCCGACACAGGGACGCAACCCACGGCAAACAGGTTGCCCATTTTAGTCGCCTCATACGACCAGCAATGGGGGGCTGTGGAAATATTCTGCCCCGGTTCCACACGGGGGAAGAGCGATTAGCGTTACCCAGCACTCACCACGAGGAGGTTGCTCTTCACGAGTGCCCCCTTGACCTTGAAAATCGAAAATGGCGGAATTGGCTGCACGAAGAATTGTCATGCTTCAGCAAAGTCATTGGAAACAGGATCCTTGGTCCTTGACTATGACACAGTTAAGTACATCCGTCAATTAACGATTGAGTCGAGAGTAAAATAACTGCTTTGTCTGAAACACAATTATACACATATTAAAGCGTCGCGATCCAAGGGAAGCTGAGCCATGAGACTTGGAGCCTATCTGAACTTTGTCATCCGGTGATACACCAACAAGTGTTCAGTAGAGGGAAACTATTTACAATGTCAACCGAAACCGTAAGTGTAGATCAAAGTAGAAACTTGTGCAAGAACCACGCCGATCTCGTTGGGTTATCGATAGTAGTAAACGTCGAAGACCTAAACTTAACTTTCATTCTATAGTTATACGACGTGATATAACAGAAATAATGTCCGAAATAGCGTTAACATACGAAATTGTTTTATTTGAACACACGAATCGGTTAAGTCTCTTACATATATGAGCGTGAGAAATGTGTTTTATCCAATATGGCGGACACAAGGCCTCAAAGATGGCTGCCAATACAGTTGGTTGGTTTGTTGTTTTACGCCGCACTCAGCAATATTCCAGCTTTATGACGGTGGTCTGTAAATAATCGAGTCTGGACCAGACAATCCAGTGATTAATATCATGAGCATCGATCCACGCCATTTGGATCGATGACATGCATCCACCAAGTCAGCGAGCCTGACCACCCGATCCCGTTAGTCGCCTTTTACGGCAAGCATGGGTTGCTGAAGACCTATTCTACCCCGGATCTTCACGGCTCCTGCCAACACAGGAAAATGACAATCTGTCGTCTTCTCTTCGGAATGGATGAGAAAATTAAAAATTAGGTTTCGACCAGGAAGTTCATCTTTATATAAGATAATTATCGCCGATGATATGTAGTATAATTGCTGATCATATTGGCTTACTTTGAAGTGACAATGTGTAGCACCTATAAGCAATTGCTTCAATATTGTCAGTAACCCATTAACGTATCCATATTTTTTTCTGATACAGTAAGATACATTTAGTCGCTGCCACTGTCACTCAAGCCTTCAGGTTCATCATGTGCATAGTTTGGGCAACCAAAGCACGTACCGTTGTCAGTACGTGGCAGTCCAGGCATGAGACAAGGACACTTTCTGGTGACGGCACATGATCTGTCACTGCAGATGAGATGAGTGACATATCTGCAGCCATACTTTCGTCTGAAACATGGCTTGTCCTATTGTCGTGTTGCTTGAACGCATCTTCAACAGCAGGGAACATTGTAGCTGCCTTGTCACTGTTTTCAAATCGAAATGACAAGTTCTTCAACATTTCAACATGTGTTCATCAATGTTCAGTTTTGTTTGTTTGTTTCTTCGTTGTTTAACACCGCACTCAGCAATATTCCAGCTATATAACGGCGGTCTGTAAAATAATCGAGTCTGGACCAGACAATCCAGTGATTGACATCATGAGCATCGATCTACGCAATTGGGATCGATGACATGTATCAACCAAGTCAGTGAGCTTGACCACCCGATTCCGTTAGTCGCCTTTTACGACAAGCATAGTCGCCTTTTACGGCAAGCATGGGTTGCTGAAGATCTATTCTACCCCGGAATCTTCACGGGTCCAGCAATGTTCAGAAAGCTGTCTTCCTTGAATTTATAACCAGACATCACCATAAGCATATCACGTATCAGAATGTTATTCTAGATCACAATTACCAGCATGCAACTGCCTTTCCCGATTCACTTATAAAAAAGATAACAGAGAAAACCCAGTCTCGAAAAGCTCAACGCAGTGCAATTACGCTAATGAAGCTTGGGTACCAAGCAGAGTATAGTTAAGTGATACAGGAATATGAGTTCAAATAATTTTCATAAGATCTTATCCTTATCATCTCAGCTAATATTTAGTCGTCTAATATGGGCACTCTCCACCGACCGACCCACTCCTCTCTTTCACCACACAATTTGCATAAAAAGTAAATGCTTGGAAGTTGCCTACCATGCGACGGTTGTTTCTCAACAAACCTGAGAATCAAGGAATGGACCAGGTGTCGTGTCCAGTGACACGACACCGCATTTACTGTTTATTTGTGGTGTCATCAGTACACGATAGTGATTCATAAACGCATGCACATGATATAGTCAGAATAACACAATGGACTCTGCTTTTACCAGAGATTTCGTATGAATATGGAAAGGTTTTTATTCGGTTTTATTAACACGACAGTAACCACCAATGAACGATGCCCTAACGTGGCCAATCTGTTCAGATTTGAGTCTCAATGAAAGATTGAGCTGTGCAACGTGTTTACCCACGCCCTCTCCTAACAAACCGGGACCACCTCCGTGGTCTAGTGGTAGAGCGTCCGCCTGAAGAGCGGAAGGTCCAGGGTTCGATCCCCGGCCGCGTCATACCATGAGACGTTAAAAGATGGCGCTTGTTGTTATAATGTCTGGCGCTCGGCATTAAGGCTCGGAGTCAGTTAACTGTATCTGAGTGGGGTATTCAAGTTGCTCTCACTGCGGCATGGTATCTCATGCGACATGGGCATTAGTCCTGACTATAGTGCAAGCAGCCACACACACACACACACGTACATGCACGTCGCTTTATAAGTGCAATAATCTTTGACGCGACATTAAACACCATTTTACCTCCAGCAATTGCAACATTGGGATTTATATGTATATTTATACGACTGGAGGTCATGTGGCCCCCATGTGACCACTTTTCCATAGGGTGTATGACTTTGGTGGCGAGGAATATTGGCGATTGGTGTTGTTGTTGTTGTTGTTTAACGCCGCACTCAGCAATATTCCAGCTATATGACGGCGGTCTGTAAATAATCGAGTCTGGACCAGACAATCCAGTGATTGATATCATGAGCATCGATCCACGCAATTGGGATCGATGACATGCATCAACCAAGTCAGCGAGCCTGAACACCCGATCCCGTTAGTCGCCTTTTACGACAAGCATAGTCACCTTTTACGGCAAGCATGGGTTGCTCAAGTGAGTGAGTGAGTGAGTTTAATTAAAGTCACGTCGGCAATATTGCAGCCATAATGTGACTTGAACAAGTTATACAATAGGTATAAAAACTGTCGACGAGGGACAGTATAATAACTAGCAATATATCACAGATTGACTTAAAACTAGTTGTAGAACATTAAAAATTATTGAGGTACGATACAATATAAAAATGGGGCTATAGATCGCCAGCAACAAGGTTAAGATCATCATACTGGGGACCAAGGGGACTTACGGTACCTCTGCCACCTGCATTATTCCCCAGCAGGATTTACATTTCCCAAAGTTACTGGCGATTGTTGCAAGTTTAGCTAGAGGTTAAAAGTTACACATATTCTGCAGTTAAAATTGAGGTAGATATAAATATACTTTGAAAGAGGTGGTCTTACATACTCTCTCAGGGGGGCAATAATTTTACGCTACTTCAACCCCCATCGAGGGTAGGGTTGCTGAAGACATATTCTACCCCGGAAGGGCGATTGGTGTCTTCGCATATGAATTTGACTGTACTCTTTACTGTAAGTCTGTAACATAGTGCATTAGTATCGATTGTGATCGATTTCGGTGAACGATATTTTTTTATGAAATAAACTAGGGTCCGATTCTGAGGGCGTATACTTTCTTTTAAGGCTGAGTATATGTTGATCTTCATCTTCTTCGGATTTTCAAAAAGTGTGTCATCGTTCCCCATCGGTTTGTCTTCAAAGACTTGATTATCTACAGGCCGCCGCGTCAGCCTGAAGATTGTTACTCACAACGTAAAACAAAAGGCAACCAAGCTAAACAGTTGCAAAAAAAATAGAAATTAATTCTATTCCCGAAAGAAATCTTTGCAAAAAGCAGATCGATTGTACAATTCTGACTGTATCGTGAGCTTGTGTTTATGAGTAATAATTCTAGTGTTCGCGAAAATCAGCGAATCAGGATCAAGCACATATTCCGTCGAGGCATTAACTGACACCAATCATAGCCTCGGAGAAGCCGCGCAGCATACTAATCGCAATACATTAGATCAGATTTTTATTCTTCAGAGAAGTGCCGGGTTGTGTGTTAGCGTCTCACAAATGGGGCTTCTTGCGCTGACTGTTGTGTCGGTCTTGCAACTCAGTGTATCAGATTGCCTATGGTGCGAACAGGACTTAGTGCCACGCGTCCCCGATTTTGACAACTACTTGCTCACCGAGTACCTGCTGTGGTCTGTCCATGTGATGCTGAGGGTTGAGTGTTCCAGCAGGTGCTACTTTGACCCCCATTGTCACAGCTTCCAGGTGCTTAAGGCTAATAGTACCTGCATAGGTTTCGCTACGGGATTTGCAGACACTGGACATATGTATTCACCTCTGACGCCTGCCCCTGGATATCAACTCTTTCTGTTACCTAGAGGTAAGAAAATGTGATTACTCATGGTTGTCTACGGCAATTTTTCTTAGACGATTTTTCGACCATGTGAGTCTAACATGTTATCACTTTCGTCCAGTCTGAAATATGATGGCAAAATAAAAGCCATCTGGAAGATGGAGTTTTGACTAACGAAAACACAGATAATGATGACAATGTTCAATATTACCTCGTATAATTGAGTGAATAACACAGTCGAAATGGTAACAAACACATGCAAAGGCACGGCAATTTTTCACTGAAACGCGGGATTATGGATAGTGTTTGGGCGCTTTTATGTATATTATGATCTATGTGATGCTTTTATTTTAAAGCAAAATTCAGTGCAAACGTTGAACTGCTAAATAGGGCCGTATCTCTTGTCAAGAACTGTGTCTTCTCTATATTGATCTTTCTTATCTCGCTATCTTTAGCCTCCCACTACATAGGTAGTGCCTGTACCAGTGATAGCGACTGTCACGTGGCGACCTCTGTGTGCAATGATGGAGTCTGCACCTGTCTGTTGGGCTACATCTTTTCACCCCGACAACATGCCTGTATCACGGGTAAGTTCTTTCACGAGTGTAAAACCAGGACCAAGGGTCCCTCCTTGCTGATCTGTTTCCTTCTGCGTAGGAATTCTGCTCGTTTTGGCAAGGGGAATTTAGATATATTCATTTTGTATCGGAACGACAAAGCACTACCCACAGGATTGTATGACAAGAGTCATGGCTTTCCTCTAGTCCGCTTTCCATCTAGGTCGAGCAATGTTAGTGGGTGAGTGAGTTTAGGCTTTACGTCACATCGGCAATATTTCAGCCATATCGTGACGAGAAATCATACATTTTTAATCATTTTGTCATCAATGGACAGTAAAATTACTAGAATATCACAGATAAATATTTAAAACTAGCATACAACTATAAAAAGATATCACTATAAAAAACGATACAATATAAAAAAGGGCTATAGATCGCCAGCAGCTGAAGGTAGATCACCATGCTAGGGTCTATGGGGACTTACAGTACTTTTGTTACCTGCATAGACCCCAGCCGGATTTACATCATCCCTTCCGCTGTTGGCGATTAATGACACATAACCAGGTTAAATGAACATATAGGTCGAGCAACGTACCAGCGTCAAGTTATGCTTACGTGCCAATGGAGGAAATACCCGTTGACAGATTCCTCCTCTTCAAAGTGACTTTATTGTGTGTGAGGACATTGGGTCTGACGGGATATAGATCATGGCAGCCCGCATGTACGTCTGGATGGAATAAGGGTGTCAACAATAATGGATGGCTTGAGAGGATTTGTCCTTTCCTAGTGGTCAGGAAACTGTTTCATTCGCCCGTCAGTCATCTTCCCGAGGCAAGAGAGTTAACTGACTTTAAAAGTCCAGATTCCCGAGGCAAGATAGTTTACTGACTTTAAAAGTCCAGTTTCCCGAGGCAAGAGAGTTAACTGACTTTAAAAGTCCAGTTTCCCGAGGCAAGAGAGTTAACAGACTTTAAAAGTCCAGTTTCCCGAGGCAAGAGAGTTAACTGACTTTAAAAGTCCAGTTTCTCGAGGCAAGAGAGTTAACTGACTTTAAAAGTCCATTTTCCACCCTTGCCGAAATAGGCTGGAATTCCTGGGCTCGATTGTAGCGCCAGAGGGTGGTTATTATGATTGATGTCCCTTCTGAGCCTCACCTATAGACCATTGGATTCCATCACTTGCATTTATTTTAAACAAAATGGCGGCGCCCAGTCAAGACGATCTGAACGATAATCAAGATCTATATTGTGATAAAACGGGTCTTACATCGCGAAGTGCATCAAATCACGCGAATACCTTGATTAAAAACATGAAAAGGTTTGGAAAATATCTGTTGACAACGAGTTGGCGGTGCACATGCTTTGCATATCATGTAATCGACCGAAATCTAAACGATGGTTTACGAACCGGATTTCGATTTCGCTGCACGATTTTGATTGGACTATGCATAGACTCGTTAGTCCAGCCAAAATGTAACTCCATAATACCATCCTAGTTCGGCAAGGGTGGAAACTGGACTTTTACAGTCATTTAACTCCCTTGCCCCGGGAGGATGTCCCTCAGTGTAAGATGCCTGCCATGTTACATGGTACACAAAGGTTCGTGAAATCACGTTCCCACAAATATCTGCGAGATTACAGGGTTAACCAAACACCAGTCACGAACTCGTTAAGTCACGAACCTACGATTATAGTGGGAAAATACAAAAGATAGTTATATACTTATAGTGAGTGAGTGAATTTGGTTTAACGCCGCTTTAAACATTATTCCAGTTATATCACGGCGTTTCAGCTTAATGTGTGAGGAAAGCCCGAAGTGATGCAGGTCTCAGACGTTTACCACTTCGGTGAAACCCACGGGTATGGTGCTGACAAACCTAGAAACATAATCGGGGCGAACCGGGATTCGAACCCACAATCATAGGTTTCTGGCGTGCCTAAGGGACGCAACTCTACACAGCGAATTGTGGCGCCTAAGACGACTGCGCCACCCATGTCCCCTATATATACTTATATGCTTATAATATAGTGATTACACTGAAGACGTTTAGTGAAAGATGACGTTAAGATTAGGTATTATTTTCCCTTTGTTGTGAAATAGTCATAGGCTCCCGTCACAGCTAGAATGTATTCATCAAAAGACTGGATATATCATCAAACAATACAAGATACACTAACTGTACTGGCTTACCAGAAGACTTGTTATTGAGCTTGTGCGTTTAATGAATTTACGTTTCAGTAATCTTGGGATATCAATACAAATATCACATTATAACATGGATTAGTTTGTTGATTAACGCCGCATTCAGCAACATTATGACGGCGGCGTGTAAATAATCGAGTGTGGACCAGACGATCCAGTGATTGTTACTATGAGCAACGTCCATCGCCGGCAGCGTATAACAACAAGGAATCCACCAAGTCACGGGCTCTGACCACCCAATGTTATAGACCATCCCGCCCGACAAGCATATGTTCCCAAGGGGTTGGGACCCGTGAAGATCCGGGTTAGAATAGGTCTTCAGCAACCCATGCTTACTGCAAAAGGCGACTATGCTTGTCGTAAGAGGCGACTAACGGGATAGGATAGTCACGCTCGCTGACTTGGTTTGATGCATGTCATCGTATCCCAATTGCGTGGATCGATGCTCATGATATTAATCACCGGATTGTCTGGTCCAGACTCGATTATTTACAGACCGCCGTCATATAGCTGGAATATGTGCGGCGTCGCTGGTTTTGGTGACTGGTTTTATTTAAAGCGACAAAACCCTTTCCATATCCAGTAGAAATCTCTGCATAAAGCCGAGTCGATTGTACTATTCTGACTATATCATCGCATGTGTTTAAGAATCACTATCGAACAGTAATGATACCAGTAGTTCGCGAAAAGGTGAGCGTATCCTGCCCCATTGGTGGCACCCGTCACAAACACATGTTAAACAACAAACAAACATTTACCTACCATAATCTATTTCTTGTATTCGAGACTGCTCAACTTGGGGAAATGACCTCACCCGCTATTTTGGGTACTCTGTAACAGGCAACGATCAAGACATTATCCGCAACATATACACTGAATTCTTGTATTCCAGACTGCTCAACTTGGGGAAATTACCTTACCCGCTATTTTGGGTACTCCGTAACAGGCAACGATCAAGACATTATCCGCAACATATACACTGAATTCTTGTATTCCAGACTGCTCAACTTGGGGAAATGACCTCACCCGCTATTTTGGGTACTCCGTAACCAGCAAAGATCAAGACATTATCCGCAACATATACACTGAATTCTTGTATTCCAGACTGCTCAACTTGGGGAAATGACCTCACCCGCTATTTTGGGTACTCCATAACCAGCAACGATCAAGACATTATCCGCAACATATACACTGAATTCTTGTATTCCAGACTGCTCAACTTGGGGAAATGACCTCACCCGCTTTTTTGGGTACTCCGTAACAGGCAACGATCAAGACATAATCCGCGACATATACACTGAAGCCGACTGTCGAGTACAGTGCAGAAACAAGGACGCCGATGCCAACTACATCTGTGTGAGCGTTGAGTACAGCTTCAGCAAGGAAAGCTGCTACCTGGCGGTACTCACCTTTCTGCAAGTACCGCCAGCGGATAGGGTCGACACCAATGATAGTGTCCAATACCAACGTAGCTGTGCAGTGTAGACGGCCCAGACGAGAAAACTCAAGTCCTCCTTGATTTCAGAATGACGACTATCATCTCGCCCAAATTATTTGTTACATAAAACGCTTGGCCTAATTCTGATGTTTCTTCTTTTCATTATCCCCATCATCACCTGCTTGTACTGATGCCTACTGAACCCGTAGAGATTCTGGCATAGAATAGGTCTTCAGCAACCCATGCTTGCCGTAAAAGGTGACTTTGCTTGTCGTAAAAGGCGACTAACGGGATCGGGTGGTCAGGCTCGCTGACTTGGTTGATGCATGACATCTATCCCAATTGCATGGATCGATGCTCATGACATTAATCACTGGATTGTCTGGTCCAGACTCGATTATTTACAGACCGCGGTCATATGGCTGGAATATTGCTGAGTGCGGCGTTAAACGACAATTTTTTTTATTATAATATGTATTCATATATAATAATAATTTCAAGATGACAGGGATATTGTGCAAATACATGTAGAGATTAAAAGCTACAATGAAATATGGCAAAATTAAAGTGACACAAATCTCATACACGTTTTTGAACAGCTTCAGTATTTCTAAAGATGGTATTGATGAATTATAAGTTTTTCATATCTTTTAATCCAATGATGGATTTTCAATTTATACATAGTTGAGATCTTTAGGTACGTACATAGGCCGCCACTGGAGAAGCGCTTCACATCTGAATAGGTGATGAAACTCGTCACCGACCGCCGGAGAATTACATAAATTACACAAACGTTCCACTCTTGGGATATCAGACCAGCGTCCGGTTTCAATTGGAAAGTAATTGTTTGTGGTTCTAAATTTTAAGAATGGGTGATAAACGTTTTTAGGCAGATGAAGATATATTTCAAAGATTATATTTTCCTTAAATATTTAATAGTGCACACTTTTAGAACCTTTAGTAATGGAACTGTGCCTATTCTGCAGGAACTGGTCTTTCAATATTTCTTCAACTTTTAAGCCAGTCATGATGAAATCAAATATTTCACCGAATCCACAGTTGTTTAATATTTTCTTGATAGCGTCAGCCTTTGGTGTCTAGTTTGCCTTTGGTGTCTAGATTTTAGGTACAATTGAACATGACGTTTCTTCGATGAGCGTCGTACGACTTTTGCTCAAACGTTGATCAGGGTAACAACATTCAAGGATTTAGTAACACTTTCAAACAGCCTTATGGTAGCCTTGTGGATGATCTTCCTATCAGTGACCATAATGATATCCGGTTCTGATATTATTACTGCTGCTACTACTACTACGACCCCTGTTTTGCAGTCCAATACCAGCCATGATGAAGAATACATTAACAGGTTGTCAAACGGAGTCCACATATGTTTAATGTTTTCATGCCAACTGTTGTCCATGGAACCAGCGTAGTTATGAATAATTTTATAAATACTGTTTGTTAATTTTGGAGTCTGCTTGTACATTGCCATTTTATGCCAGAATAACGCGTTTGTACAGTTTGATGTAGAGGGGTTCCCTTCCGAGTTCTCCATAAATCAGTTTTAAATTAAACAAAGTTTTATGTTGCATTTCAAACACCTGCTGTCAGTTTAAGAAATTTTAAATGTATTTTTTTGATTTGATTAAAGTTTTCAAATGATTTCAGAACAGTACTTTAGGATTCCAAGGTAAGTATAATCATCGACAATGTCTACAGTTTGATTGCTGAAAGTGAACGAGTATTTGAGATTGCTGTTTCTAGCAGGCCAGCTTCCAAAAAACTATTTTGGTTTTGGACAAGTTTACATTTAATTTCCATCGTGAATAATATCTATGAAAAGTGTCAAGTGATTGTTATAGGTCTGGAGGGTCTTCATTGAATAAGACGGTATTATCTGCATATAACAAAACAATAAACTGCATGCAAAAGAAAGTTACCATATATACCATAATTTAGCAATTTAAACCATAGACCAGCCCTCTACACAGTGAACGCTTTTGTGTAATCAATAAAGACTTGCATTCGTTTAATAACATGGCACAGACTAGTTTCCATTCCTTTTCTTCTTTGTATAGAATTTTGAAATTATATGGAATGAATGGTTGTTCAATTTTCCTATCTAATGATATAGATTTGTAATCCATATATGTTTTTATGGATTTAGAAAGAGTCAAATTAAAAACTTCACATTTTTAAAAGTAATCCCATATATGATATACAACGGACAAATGTATCAGAGAAGGTAATTTTTAATCATTAATGTCCAAAGAAGGATTTCAATTAACGGTGGTAACCATAATTTGTTCCAAGCACCTACGGTATTCGGTAATAACATCGACAGTTTAAATAATAAGTCCCAAGCACGAGAATCTGATGGCACACAAGTTCAGTAGCGTGTATGGCCACCATGTGCGTTGACCACTTGCCACACATCGCCTCCGCATGGACCTTGTGATGCTTGTGAACACATGATTGGGAAGACGACGCCATTGTTGCTGCAAAATGGTGCCAAGATCTTGCAAATTCTGTGGTTGGTTCTGGAGAGTGCGCAGACTTCCGCCAAGAGCATCCCAGACGTGTTCGATGGGATTGAGGTCGGGAGACCTTGACGGCCAGTCCATGACGTTGACTCCCGCATTCCGAAGGAAATTCCTTGTCAAAATAGCTGTGTGGGGTCTGGCATTGTCGTGTTGGAAGATCAAACCGGGTCCATGTGCTGCCATAAAAGGCAGAAGTTCTGGTGCCAGTACCTGGCCGCGGTAAGCAGCAGCGTTGAGGTTGCCACGGATGACAAGAAGCCTGGAACGTGCATTGCCACAGAAAGCACACCACACCATGACACTTCCGCCTCGAAATCTGTCAACTTCCTGTACACAACACTCGGCGTAACGTTCATGACGGCGCCTCCACACCCTCGCCCTACCATCAGTGAGTTAATATTTAAAGTCACATCGGCACTATTTCAGCCATATCGTGACTTGAACAAGTGAAACATTTATATTATATATAAAAACCTGTCGCCGAAGGACAGTACAACAATTAGCAATATATCACAGATTATAATTTTAAAAACTAATTTTAGAGCAATAAAACGATCAAATTTAATCAGACGACACAGTATAAAAACGGGCTGTAGATCGCCAGCAACCAAAGCTAGGCCACCATACTAGGGACCATGGGGACTTACGGTACTTCTGCTACCTACATGGTCCCCAGCAGGATTTACACCATCCCTCGGGCTACTGGCGATTATCAGAAAGATTAGCCAAACAGTTAAAATCAACAAAAATGCTACGATTAAAATCACAGCAAAATGAAAAGATACTTTGAATGATACCGGACTTACGTACCTTCCCAGGGGGACAATTGTTTTACGATACTTCAACCCCCTGTGAAGATACAGCCACTAACAATCCAAGTCATGAATTCAATTTACCAATAAAAATCACTTTCTATATACTATACATATTATAATCAAAATTTATCTATTAATTCTATTTCTTTTAAAAAACCGATGAGTAAATGAGCACTGATACTAAAAAGATCCTTGATGGACGAAACTTTGAAATACTTATCCCTTGTAATGGAAAAATCAATACAGTCAAGCAGGACATGCTTGACTGTGATTCTCTCATCACAAGGGATACAAAACGGAGGATCCTCACCTTTTAATAGATATTCGTGTGTATATCTTGAATGGCCAATACGACATCGTCGTAAAATGACCTCTTCAAATCTGGACTGACACCCCAAGTAGGTGTAACCGAGAGTTGGCTTAATTTGATGTAATTTATTGATACCTACTTGGGTGTCCCACTTCATTTGCATAAGATCTCTGATGTAACATCTGATCACAGGTTTATAATCACTGTAGGGAAGTAGAAGTGGTGTCACAGATTTGTTGAGGGCTGCTTTAGCAGCAGCATCAGCCATTGTGTTGCCTTTTATGCCCACATGACTGGGCAACCAACAAAAGACGATGTCGTATTGGCCAGTTGAAAGATCATTATAAAGTTCTAAAATGTTTAAAATGATTGGATGACTAGAAGAGACTTTTTTAGTGCCTGAAGACAAGATAAAGAATCAGAAAAGATTATAAATCGGTTATATACAGATTGTTTTTGAATGTATCCCAAGGCTGTAAGGATAGCATTGGCCTCAGCAGTGAATATAGAGCTATTATCTGGTATTCTGGACGATAAATGTTTTGATCCAATGACGGTGGCAGATGCTACTTGGCCACCATCCTTGGATCCATCAGTAAAGATTGAACGGTGAGTGTCGTATTTATTTCTTAACTGTAAAAATGCTTGTTGATATACGAGTGGATTGGTCTCAGATTTTATAAAACGTGTGAGGGAAATGTCTACTTCTGGCCTCACCAACTGCCAGGGAGGAGAAGACAAAAGGCGGTAAGGAGAGATGAGATTTAAATCTATATGGGCAGCAATAACATTTAATTAATCCGAATTCCAAGTGGGGGAACCAGCTTTGGTTTCCTCAGAAACAGTTCTTCATATTGAGGATGAAAAACGGAGTCATATGCAGGATTAGAAGGGTTAGAGTGTAATTTTGTGATATATTGAAGAGATAATTTAATACGGCGTAGTTTCAAAGAGGGTTCATCAGCCTCGACACAGAGACTGTCAACAGGAGAAGTTCTAAAAGCACCAAGGCACAGTCTAAGTCCCTGATGGTGGATTGAATCTAGCTTTTTTTCAATTACTCTTGCAAGCTCCAGCATACACAATGGAGCCATAGTCTAATTTAGAGCGGATTAATGATCTATATAAGTGAAGGAGGGTTGTCTGATACCCTCCTCACTTAGAATTCGAGACGACTTTCAACAAATCGAGGGCCTTCAGGCATTTAGTCTTTAAATATTTAATATGTGGCAAAAACGTCAAATGGTGGTCGAAAATCAATCCCAGAAATTTGGCCTCTTTTACAACCTTAATTCGAGTACCATCTAAAGAGAGCTCTGGGTCTTTATGGGTTTTATATTTCCGACAGAAATGTATACAATTTGTCTTTGTCTGTGAGAACTTAAATCCATTCTCAAGACACCATTTTTGAATTTTATTAAGACACAACTGTAACTGTCTTTCAATTGTACGCATATTTTTACCACGACATGAAATATTAAAATCATCCACAAACAAAGACCCATCAATTGAGTCATTTAATACTTTAGATAAACTATTAATTTTTATGCTAAACAAGGTAACAGACAAAATACTGCCTTGTGGAACCCCCTGATCCTGATTATAATGATC